CTATATGAGGGATGAAATACTATATGGGGGGATGAAATACTATATGAGGGATGAATACTATATGGGGGGGATGAAATACTTATGGAGGGATGAAATACTATATGGGGGGATGAAATACTATATGAGGGATGAAATACTATATGGGGGATGAATTACTATATGAGGGATGAATTACTGTATGAGGGATGAAAATGAAATACTATATGGGGGGATGAAATACTATATGGGGGGATGAAATACTATATGAGGGGGATGAAATACTATATGAGGGATGAAAAATACTATATGAGGGATGAAATACTATATGAGGGATGAAATACTATATGGGGGGATGAATTATACTATATGGGGGGATGAAATACTATATGAGGGGATGAATTACTATGGGGGGATGAATTACTATATGGAGGATGAATTACTATATGGGGGGATGCCAATTACTATATGGGGGATGAATTACTATGGGGGATGAATTACTATGGGGGATGAATTACTATGGGGGATGAATTACTATGGGGGATGAGGGGGGGGGGGGGGGGGGGTGGGTATTACTATGGGGGATGAATTACACTATGGGGGATGAATTACACTATGGGGGATGAATTACTATGGGGGATGAATTACTATATGGGGGATGAATTACTATATGGGGGATTAATTACTATTTGGGGGGATGAATTACTATATGGGGGATTAATTACTATGGGGGATGAATTACTATATGGGGGATTAATTACTATGGGGGATGAATTACTATATGGAGGATGAATTACTATGGGGGATGAATTACTATATGGGGGATTAATTACTATGGGGGCATGAATTACTATATGGGGGATTAATTACACTATGCTTACTATGGGGGAATATTACTATACTTACTATGGATGACACATACACATCATTCATCTACTCTTGGTCCGGCCCCCGGGTCCAATTATAAAATACTTTATTATTTCATAATAAAGTAATTATAAAATAATTTCTTTGTGTTTTGATTCCTATTCAAGAGAATTACTTTATATATAGTCAATATAGGCACAGAGGTAAATTTTTTTAACATTTTCTAATGGTGGTGTGCCTCGTGATTTTTTTCATGAAAAAAGTGTGCCTTTGCACAAAAAAGGTTGAAAAACACTGCCCTAGACTGACAATGTTGCGTTATGCTGTGCCTCGTGTGCTCCCCTCATCCAGAATAGTGTCCCACTGGGTCATCAGGCGGAGCAGCAGGCAAAGCAGCGGGCACCGGGCCATCAGGCGGAGCAGCGGGCACCGGGCCATCAGGCGGAGCAGCGGGCACCGCGCCATCAGGCGGAGCAGCGGGCACCGCGCCATCAGGCGGAGCAGCGGGCACCGGGCCATCAGGCGGCAGCAGTGGGCACCGGGCCATCAGGCGGAGCAGCGGGCAAGGCAGGGGCACCAGGCCATCAGGTGGAGCAGTGGGCACCGGGCCATCAGGCGGAGCAGCGGGGCACTGGGCCATCAGGCGGAGCAGCAGGCAAGGCAGCGGGCACCAGGCCATCAGGCGGAGCAGCGGAGAAGGCAGCGGTCACCGGGCCATCAGGCAGAGCAGCGGGTACCGGGCCATCAGGTGGAGCAGCGGGTACCGGGCCATCAGTCGGAGCAGTGGGCACTGGGCCATCAGGTGGAGCAGTGGGCACTGGGTCACCAAGCTCGACAGCGGGCACCGAGTCATCTGGCAGGACAGCGGGCACCGAGTCATCTGGCAGGACCGCGGGCACTGGGTCACCAAGCTTGACAGCGGGTACCGAGTCATCTGGCATGACAGCAGGCACCGAATCATCTGGCACGACAGCGGGCACCGAGCCATCTGGCACGACAGCGGGCACCGAGCCATCTAGCAGAACCGCGGGCACTGGGTCACCAAGCTCGACAGCGTGCACCAAGTCATCTAGCAGAACCGCGGGCACTGGGTCACCAAGCTCGACAGCGGGCAGCGAGTCATCTGGCACGACAGCGGGCATCGAGTCATCTGGCACGACAGCAGGCCCCGAGCCATCTAGCAGAACCACGGGCACCGGGTCACCAAGCTCGACAGCGGGCACCGAGTCATCTGGCACGACAGCGGGGGTACCGAGTCATCTGGCACGACAGCGGGTACCGAGTCATCTGGCACGACAGCGGGGCACCAAGTCATCCGGCACGACAGCGGGCACCAAGTCATCCGGCAAGACCGTGGGCACCGAGTCATCTGGCACAACAGCGGGCTCCGAGTCAACTGGCATGACAGCGGGCACCAGGTCATCTGGCAAGACAGCGGGCACCAGGTCATCAGGCATTGGATCGTCTGGTTCGACAGCGGGCACCGAGTCATCTGGCTCGTCAGCGGGCACCGGGTCATCAGGCATTGGGTCATCTGGCTTGACAGTGGGCACCGGGTCATCTGGCTCGACAGAGGGCATCGGGTCATCTGGCATCAGGTCATCTGGAACGACAGCGGGCACCGAATCATCTGGCACGACAGCGGGCACCGAGTCATAAGGCACGACAGCGGGCACCGAGTCATAAGGCACGACAGCGGGCACCGAGTCATAAGGCACGACAGCGGGCACCGAGTCATAAGGCACGACAGCGGGCACCGAGTCATAAGGCACGACAGCGGGCACTGGGTCACCAAGCTCGACAGCGGACACCGAGTCATCTAGCAGAACCACGGGCACTGGGTCACCAAGCTCGACAGCGGGCAGTGAGTCATCTGGCACGACAGCGAGCCCCGAGCCATCTAGCAGAACCACGGGCACCGAGTCACCAAGCTCGGCAGCGGGCACCGAGTCATCTGGCACGACAGCGGGGTACCAAGTCATCTAGCGCGACAGCGGGCACCGAGTCACCCGGCAAGACAGCGGGCACCGAGTCACCCGGCACGACAGCGGGCACCGAGTCATCCGGCACGACAGCGGGCACCGAGTCATCCGGCACGACAGCGGGCACCGAGTCATCCGGCACGACAGCGGGCACCGAGTCATCTGGCAAGACAGCGGGCACCGAGTCATCTGGCAAGACAGCGGGCACCGAGTCATCTGGCAAGACAGCGGGCACAGAGTCACCAGGCACGACAGCGGGCACAGAGTCATCTGGCGAGACAGCGGGCACCGGGTCATCAGGCATTGGATCGTCTGGTTCGACAGCGGGCACCGGGTCATCTGGCTCGACAGCGGGCATCGGGTCCCCAGGCACGACAGTGGGCACCGGGTCATCAGGCATCGGGTCATCTGGCTTGACAGTGGGCACCAGGTCATCTGGCTCGACAGCGGGCATCGGGTCATCTGGCATCAGGTCATCTGGCACGACAGCGGGCACCGGGTCATCTGGTTCGACAGCGGGCACCGGGTCATCTGGCTCAACAGCGGGCATCGGGTCACCAGGCATGACAACGGGCACCGGGTCATCAGGCATCGGGTCATCTGGCTCAACAGTGGGCACCGGGTCATCAGGCATTGGATCGTCTGGCTCGACAGCGGGCACCGAGTCATCTGGCATAATAGGACCATCAGGCTGGGTAGACACATCAAACTGGGTAGGGTACACTGGGTCATCGGGCATCAGAGTATCAGGCTGAACCACGGAAAGCGGGTTCTCAGACGACAGGCTGACCGGTTTGGATACTGGCAGGATGGTATTGGTTGGAAAGAATTTTCGCTTTTTCCTGGTTTTAGTTACTGGAGCGCAGGAAGTAAGCGCAGGTTTGTAAGTGGATAGAGCAGCTGTAGGCAGAGAAGAGCTGAGGGATGGAACAAAGGAGGGAGCAGTTGCTACACAGGACTTCTTTACAGGGTTAAAGATAGGATAGGTGCAGCGAGTGGAGCAGGGGACTGATATGTGGTAGTTAGCAGAGTATACTGGGCCGTCACTGGGGGTGCTGTCGGGGATGCAGGAAGAGTGCCCTGAGCAGAGGAATGACGTTGCAAGCTGACTGAGGCTGGGTGCAACAAGTCTGACCATGTGTCAGGGCTCCCAGGTATAACCAGAGATGTGTGACTGACGCAGGGAAACGCAGACTTCAGATATGGGATAAACAATAATTTATTAACACTAACAATACAAACATAAACGCAGTGCAATACTAAACATAATACAGTGCAAACAAACCAAACCAACCCCCCACAGATAACAGTACATACAAGCAAGCGTCGTCAGGCAGGCCGGGTCAATATCAATTGGGCAGGTAGGTACAGGGGGAGCAAGCGGAGAATGGTCGGGGTCACAGGCCAGGTTCAGCAGGTAGCAAGCAGCGTAGTACAGAGGGTCAAGCAGAGGGATGGTCAGGGTCACAAGCCAGGGATCAGAACAGGTAGCAAGCCGTAGTACAGAGGGTCAGCAAAGGAACAGAAACAGGATGCAGGACAGATACAGGGCCCAGGACAAACACACACCAAGGCAGAGTCTGTGGGTCTGGCCATCCCTTAAATACCCCAGCATAATCAGTTCCAGGTGTTAGCTGGCTGCAAAGTTGAGTCTCTGATTGCTGGGAGCACCCGCTGGCCAGCCCTGGTACTGCAGATCAAAAGGCAGGCGAGTCCCACCATTGCTGGCCAGTCCATTCCTGACAGTACCCCCCCCTCAAGGAGTGACCTCAGGACGCTCCAAACAGTCCTAGCTGGGAAAAATGTTCCACCGCCCGGGTCTGGTAACTGGCGGGATATCAAAGACTGGCACACCGGGCTGGACTCCGGGCAGAGGCACACCGGGCTGGACTCCGGGCAGAGGCACACCGGGCTGGACTCCGGGCAGAGGCACACCGGGCTGGACTCCGGGCAGAGGCACACCGGGCTGGACTCCGGGCAGAGGCACACCGGGCTGGACTCCGGGCAGAGGCACACCGGGCTGGACTCCGGGCAGAGGCACACGGGCTGGACTCCGGGAGCAGAGGCACACCGGGCTGGACTCCGGGCAGAGGCACACCGGGCTGGACTCCGGGCAGAGGCACACCGGGCTGGACTCCGGGCAGAGTGGCGGGCGCCGGGCCCCCGGGCGGAGCGGCGGGCGCCGGGCCCCCGGGCGGAGCGCGACAGGTCTCGGGCCCTCAGGCGGAGCGGCAGGCGCCGGACCCCCAGGCGGAGCGACAGGTCTCGGGCCCCCAGGCGGAGCGACAGGTCTCGGGCCCCCAGGCGGAGCGACAGGTCTCGGGCCCCCAGGCGGAGCGACAGGTCTCGGGCCCCCAGGCGGAGCGACAGGTCTCGGGCCCCCAGGCGGAGCGGCGGCGGCGCGCGGACCCCCAGATGGAGCGACAGGTCTCGGGCCCTCAGGCGGAGCGGCGGGGCGCCGGATCCCCAGATGGAGCGACAGGTCTCGGGCCCTCAGGCGGAGCGGCGGGCGCCGGACCCCCAGGTGGAGCGACAGGTCTCGGGCCCCCAGATAGAGCGACAGGTCTCGGGCCCTCAGGCGGAGCGGCGGGCGCCGGACCCCCAGGTGGAGCGACAGGTCTCGGGCCCTCAGGCGGAGCGGCGGGCGCCGGACCCCCAGGTGGAGCGACAGGTCTCGGGCCCTCAGGCGGAGCGGCGGGCGCCAGACCCCCAGGTGGAGCGACAGGTCTCGGGCCCCCAGGCGGGAGCAACAGGTCTCGGGCCCTCAGGCGGAGCGGCAGGCCCAGCGGACGGACCCCCCCCCCCCCCCCCCCGAGTCATCTGGCACGACAGTGGGCTCCGAGTCAACTGGCATGACCGCTGGCACTGGGTCAGACATTGGATCGTCTGGCTGGACAGCGGGCATCGGGTCACCCGGCATCAGGTCATTTGGCTCGACCGCGGGCACCGCATCATCTGGCAAGGCAGTGGGCTCCGAGTCAACTGGTCTGACCGCGGGCACTGGGTCAGACATGAATCGTCTGACTGGACAGCGGGCATCGGGTCACCAGGCATCATCAGGTCATTTGGCTCAACAGCGGGCACCGCGTCATCTGGCAAGGCAGTGGGCTCCGAATCAACAGGCACGACAGTGGGCACCGGGTCATCAGGTACCGGATTGTCAGGCTCGACAGCGGGCACTGGGTCACCAGGCATCAGGTCATTTGGCTTGCCAGCGGGCACCGCGTCATCTGGCAAGGCAGTGGGCACCGGGTCACCAGGCATTGGATCGTCTGGCTCGACAGGGGGCATCGGGTCACCAGGTATGACAGCGGGCACTGGGTCACCAGGCATCAGGTCATTTGGCTCGCCAGCGGGCACCGCGTCATCTGGCAAGGCAGTGGGCACCGAGTCACCAGGTACGACAGCGGGCTCTGAGTCAATAGGCACGACAGCGAGCACGGATCAGGTACCGGATCATCTGGATCAACAGCGGGCATCGAGTCAACTGGCCTAATAGGATCATCAGGCTGGATCAGTTCATCATGCTGGGTAGAGGCATCAGGCTGAATGCCGGCGTCTGGCTGAGTAGAGGCTTCAGGCCGAGTAGAGGCTTCAGGCCGAGTAGAGGCTTCAGGCCGAGTAGAGGCTTCAGGCCGAGTAGAGGCTTCAGGCCGAGTAGAGGCTTCAGGCCGAGTAGTAGAGGCTTCAGGCCGAGTAGAGGCTTCAGGCTGAACCACGGAAGGCAGGTTCACCAGTTTGGATACTGGCAGGATGGTATTGGTTGGAAAGAATTTTCGCTTTTTTCTGGTTTTAACTACTGGAGCACTGCAAGTAAACGCAGGTCTGCAAACGAATGGAGCAGCTGGAGACAGAGAAGAACTGGAGGATGGAACAGGAGAGGGAGCAGTTGCTACAGAGGGCTTTTTTACAGGGTTAAAGGCAGGATAGGTGCAGCGAGTGGGAACAGGGTACTGACATGCGGTAGATAGCCAAGTATACTGGGCTGTAACTGGAGGAGCTGTTGGGAATACAGGAGAAGAGTTAGAAGCAGGACTGGGTTTTTGTAAGCTGACTGAGGCTGGGTGCAACAAGTCTGTCCATGTCTGCAGTAGGGGTTGAACAAAGCTGAGCTTACACAAAGCCTGTCTGGTCAATGACTGTACTGCGTTTATACAAACTCTTAGTGTCTGTGGTGAACATGTGGAATAACGCTCCAGAAAGTAACCCACATCATCCTCTAATAACCACACCAGGGACTCTACCTGGTCTGCACTAAATGGTGGCAAAAATTCATCCCTGCATTCGGGGGAACCAGATGAAACCAACTCTGCACAAACCTCAATCAAAGGCTGCACCTCAGAGAACTCTGTGCCCTGATCTACTAGAACATGAGCGAGCCGTATACATTCTAGCAGTTCATCCCGGGGATACTCCTTCAGAGTTTGATAAGCATACTCCCTGTCATCAAACACTAGCAGAGATAAATACTCAACCTCATCCAGATCCATCCTTCCCATCAACAAACCAAGATGGCTTCCCTGTGCAGCCACTTCTGGTCAGGATTGGCCTTGGTGTAATGTCAGGGCTCCCAGGTATGACCAGAGATGTGTGACTGACGCAGGGAAACGCAGACTTCAGATATGGGATAAACAATATAATTTATTAACACTAACAATACAAACAAAACGCAGTGCAATACTAAACATAATACAGTGCAAAAAACCAAACCAACCACCCACAGATAACAGTACATACAAGCAAGCGTCGTCAGGCAGGCCGGGTCAATATCAATTGGGCAGGTAGGTACAGGGGGAGCAAGCGGAGAATGGTCGGGGTCACAGGCCAGGTTCAGCAGGTAGCAAGCAGCGTAGTACAGAGGGTCAAGCAGAGGGATGGTCAGGGTCACAAGCCAGGGATCAGAACAGGTAGCAAGCAGCGTAGTACAGAGGGTCAGCAAAGGCACAGAAACAGGATGCAGGACAGATACAGGGCCCAGGACAAACACACACCAAGGCAGAGTCTGTGGTCTGGCCATCCCTTAAATACCCCAGCATAATCAGTTCCAGGTGTTAGCTGGCTGCAAAGTTGAGTCTCTGATTGCTGGGAGCACCCGCTGGCCAGCCCTGGTACTGCAGATCAAAAGGCAGGTGAGTCCCACCATTGCTGGCCAGTCCATTCCTGACACCATGTCTGCAGTATGGGTTGAACAAAGCTCAGCTTACACAAAGCCTGTCTGGTCAAAGACTGCACTGCGTTTATACAATCTCTTAGCACCTGTTGTGAACATGCAGAATAACGCTCCAAGAAGTAATCCACATCATCCTCCAATAACCACACCGGGACTCTACCTGGTCAGCACTAAATGGCGGCAAAAATTCATCCTTGCATTCGGGGGTACCAGATGAAGCCAACTCTGCACAAACCTGAATCAATGGTTGCACCTCAGAGAACTCTGTGCCCTGATCTACTAGGCAATGAGCGATCCTTATGCATTCTAGTAGTTGATCCCTGGCATACTCCTTCAGAGTCTGATAAGCATAATCTCTGTCATCAAAGACTAGCAGAGACAAATACACCACCTCATCAAGATGCATCCTTCCCAGCAACAATAAGCCAAGATGGCTTCCCTGTGCAGCCACTTCTGGTCAGGAATGGCCTTGGTGTTCTTTTAGGGATCCGGGTATGACCAGAAATGTGTGGACTGACACAGGGAAACACAGGCTCCAGGTATAGTATAAACAATACAATTTATTAAAGACTAAACAATACATAAACGCAGAGCAAGACTAAACATAAACACAGTGCAACCAAACCTCCAACAGATAACAATAAGAACAATACTAAACGTAGTCGGGCAGGCAAGGTACAAGGAGCAGGCGGAAGCGTAGTCAGGAATAGCTGAGGTCAGGACAGGCAGAGTTCATGCAGAGTCAGGATTAAAGCAGAATCAGGATCAGGCAGGAAGCAGACAGGATGCATGTACAGGGGCTCATGGGAAACATACACCAAGGCCCTGATCACAGGCCTGGCCATTCCTTAAATACACCTGCTGTAATCAGCCTCAGGTGATGGCTCATTGCAGGAGTGAGCCTCTAGTTGCTGAGAGCACCCGCTGGCCAGCCCTGGTACTGCAGCCCACAAGGCAGGTGAGTCCCACCACCACTGGCAAGTCCATTCCTGACAGGTAAGCTGCAATATGTTAAATTTTTAGTTTTGGGTTTAATACCTCTTTACATATTTACATTCTTACACTGTATTTTTGTGCACTATTATTTGCTTTATAAGAATGTGTTGATTTTTACTCTTGCACTGCACATGCTGATGGGATTGGTATTAACGCTGTATTATGGATTAAATTTGCTTGAATTCTTTTATAGCTTGATCAATCCAAGATGGCGCCCGGAACAGCCAAATGACCGCCAGCTCCATCCGCTGCCATCCGCCACCACCCGGGCCCCCGAGCTGCCGCCGAGGTCCCCACCAACACCCTGAAGGGGCCCTGGACACTCCGTCCCTCCGAAGCGGGTTGAGGCCTACCACAGCACCCGAAGCCACGGTGTTTCCTGCCAGCTGTGGCCGGAATCGCGGTGAGGATCACGGCCGCGGTGGGACGCGTCCGCTCCTCAGGGGAAGTTGCCACCATCCCTACCGGCCCTACTGACACCCAGGAGGGGTCCGCCGCCATCCGGGACACCAGGTACTCAATCAGGGGGAACCCACTACCCACCAGGGAGCCCAGCCGCCATCACACCGCTAGCCACCAGGGACACAATCAGAGGCACCCACTACCCACTACCCACCAGGGACTGCAAACCACCAGGGACCTTAGGCTACTATCCCACCAGGGATCACTAACCCACTACCCCACCTGGGATCGCAAGCCCATCACCCCAGCAGGGACCGTAAGCCCGCCACCCCACCCTCCGGCGCGCTGTCCCTCCGGCGGAGATCCGGCGACTCACGGCCTATCACGACTCCTGAAGCCATGGCCTTTCCTACCAGCCGCGGCAGACCACGGAGGACCACGAACCGCGGAGGGCCAAGGATCGTCGCCGAGACGCCCCGCTCCGGGCTCCGCAGATAGAAGGAAGCAGCAACCACCCCCACTGGCACGGAGAGGGTAAGCCGCCACGGCCCCGAGTGGGTAAGCCACCGCTGCCACATCTGCTCCCCACCATGCCCCACTCAGCCATGCCCCTGCCACCACACAGCCCTGAGCCCTGCTCCATCCGGCGGAGGCGCCCACCAACGCCTAGCCCACTCCACCTCCGGACATCGGCGCACACCACCTCCAGATGTCGGCCTACACCACCTCCTGCAACCGGGCCTCTAGCACCTCCCGACGGGCCTCAGTACCCCCTGACCGGGCCTCAGCACCCTACCCCTGACACCGGGCCTTCAGCACCTCCTGACACCGGGCCTTCAGCTCCTCCTGACACCGGGCCCTCAACACCTCCCGAAGCTGGGCCCTCAACACCTCCCGATGCCGGGCCTCCAGCAACCCCTGACGACGGGCCTACAACACCTCCAAACACCGCGCGCCATGGCTCATCCAGTCGCCGAACCACTGTACCCACCGAAGCCGTGCCACAACACCCACGGAGGCTGGCGACTTTGCCGCCTGGTTTCCTTTCTTCCTCTCCTCCGAGCTACCGACCATCATCCTCGGGGATTTCAACATCCCCATAAATGCCAACAGCCCGGCTACTTCCCAACTCCTCCTCCTAACCTCCTCTTTCGCACCCACACAGCACACAGTCCTCCACCCACACCATAAAAAAAACAAAAAATAATAAAAGAAGCTGGGCCCCTACCCCGGTCCCCCCTCGTCTACCGTTGCCCTACTACGATCTATTTAAAAGACGTACCCCGAGATGCCCACACCCCCTCCCCCACCACCCCCCCCCAGGACCCCTATCCCCCCAGGTCTGCCCCTCCCCCCCTCCGCCCCCGCCCCACCCCCCCCCCCCCCCCCCCCCCAAGCGCCCCCCGCCCCTCCCCCCCCCCCCCCCCCCTCTCCCCCCCCCCCCCCCCGCACATAGGAGGGATCCCCCCCACTCCCCCCCCCCCCCCTCTCACCGTCCGGACCCCCCCCCCCCCGTCCCCCTGAACCCACCCTCCCCCCCCTCCCCCCCCCACCCCCCCCCCCCCATACCGCCGACCCCCCCCCCTTTTACCCCGCCCCCACCCTATTCCTCCCCCCCCCCCCCCCCCCCCCCCCCACTCCCCCCCCCGCCTCCCCCCCCCCCCCCCCCCCCCCCCGCCCCACTCCCCCCCCCCCCGCCCCCCCCCATCCCACACCCCGCCTGCCCCTTTAGATACCCCCCCCCCCCCCCCCCCCCGCTCCCTCCCACCCTCCCCCCCCCCTAGCCCCCCCCCCTCCCCCCCCACCCACTAAACCCCCTGCCCCCCCCCCTAATATAATTAAAATTATAAACCCCTCCCCCCCCCACCGCCCCCCCACCCCCCCCCCCCCCCTTCTCCCCCCCCCCTACCC